CTCTCTCACTCTCATCCTCCATTCACCCAACCACCTCCCCATACCACCCTCCTATCCACTCCTCGGAAAGAGTGAGGCCTCCCATGGGGGGGTGATTATAAAAGTTTGTCACATCAATTGTGACAGGATTGAGGCCCTTCACCATGTTTCTAGACTGAGAGAGTATGCCTCCATAGGAATGAGCTCCAAAAAGCCAGTTCATGCACTAGGGATAAATACTGGTTCCACTGCCAGCAGCCCCATAGACTGCCCAAGCTCCCCAACCGACACCCATGTTCAGGGGTCCTAGTTTGGTGTTATCTGCAGCAGTCATTCTGAATTTCATGAGCTCCCCCTTGCTTGGGTCAGCTGTTTCTGTGGGTTTCCCCAGCCTGGTCTTCACCCCTTTGCTCATCACTTCTCCCTCTCTACAACTGGATTCCAGTTCAGCTCAGTGCTTCGCTGTGAATCTCTGCTTCTGTTTCCATCATCTACTGGATGAGGGCTCTATGATGACAATTAAGGTAGTAATTAGTCTCATTATAGGGGAAGGGCATTTAAGGTAGCCTCTCCACTATTGCTTAGATTCTTAGTGGGGGTCATACTTATGGAGTCTTGGAAATTTCCCTAGTGCCAGGTTTCTTATTAAGCCCATAGCAGCTTTCTCTATCAAGATATCTCTTTCCTTAATCTCCTTCTCTATCCTTCCCCGAACTCGACCTTCCTGATCCCTCGTGGAGGGGGGGGGGATGGATGTAGGAGAGAGGGGAGGAGAAAATAAATTCCTTTTCTCTTAATAGATGCATTCAATAATTTCTTTTAGAGAACCCTGAGTAATACAGTGGGCATATCTGTGAGGAATTGTTTTTATTATTAATTTATGTAGGAGGGTCCATTCCACTGTAGGCAGCAGGACTCCTCAAGCAATCAGTCCCAGGATATATAAAAAGCTAGTTATGTATGAGCCAAAGAGTGATCCAGTGAGAGAGACAGCAAGCAACATTCCTCCATGGTTTCTGACTCCAGGTTCCTGCCTTGACTTTCATCAGTAGTAGACAGTGACCTGAAAGTGTAAGCAAAATAATTGGGGGGGGGGTGGTCCCAACAGTCAGCCCCATGCTGTCATCCTTCCTCGCAGGCCTTCTGTAAACAGACTGAGCCACCACATCCCTTGGAACTATACTTGGGTAGTGTGGTCCTCTGTGAAAGATGAGACATAGTCTGGTCTGCCTCTCATGTCCACAATATCCCTTGGTGGCCTAAACAACTTAACCGTGATATATGCAAAGTAGCCTTAGGTGCTGCTGCCCCATGGGGTACTGAGGACCTCTTTGATCAAGTCAGCAGCACCATCCATCAACGTAGAGGGCTTCCTTTATGTTGGCTGCTCCCATCCAAGCCAATTGTCAATCATGCAAACATACACCTTTTGTGTATGCCAGTCCCCCATAGGGACCGCAGTCTCCTACAGAAATGTGGAGACAGCTCTGATTATTACTGCAAAAACTGGGGCTGTGAAACCACAGGTGACACCTATTGGAAACCCTCCTCCAATTGGGACTACATCACAGTCACTGCTGGACTCATATCACCTATTCCTACATTAGTAAATAATATTAATCAATTTACACTATCCAGGCCCCTGAGGAATGCCATACATCCTCTCCCACAAAAGGCTGGTGTAATCCTCTCAAAATTACCTTTACCACTCCCGGCTATCATGCCCCTAATTGGTATTGAGGATATATATACCTGGGGCCTTCACCTTTGTAAGTAGGGATACGATGAGGGAATCACCTTCTCAATTAAACTCCTCAAAGAAACCCCCATTTTCACCCCCACTGTTGTTATTAGTTCCAGTGTTATTTGGGGTGGGGGAAAAGCTGCCACCATCACCTATACTTCCTCCCTTAAAAGGCTCACATCCAAAACCAGATAGCACCAGACCACCTAATCTTACTCCCCCACAGGACTACAACCCAGCTTTCCACATGGACAAAACCCAGGACGCTTTCTTGACCCTCATCAACCAGACTTTCCTCGTGCTAAATTCCACTACTACCAAACTAGCTGAAGATTGTTGGCTTTGCTATCATTCCTCCCCACCCTTTCTATGAAGAAATTGCTATTTCTTCACCCCTTTACACCACCAAGCACTCTATTTACTGTCGCTGGAAACCTGCTTTAGTAGCCAGTCTCACCCTATAGCAAGTTTTTGGCTCAGGACTCTCTCTGCCTTACCTAACTCACTCACCCCTCTCCCCCATCTTCATATACCCAGCTATGTAATACCATGATAATTTTTAATACCTATGATCATTATGTTATTCCTCCCAATGATACCTGGTGGGTTTGTCTTGATGGACTCACCCCTTGTCTGTCTAGTCATTATTTCTCTGATGTTGGCTTCTGCACCCTTGTACAGATTGTCCCTTGCCTAACTTTCTATCACCCTGATGAGTTCTTTCACTTCTGGCAACAGACCCAAGGAAACACCCCCTTATATTCTTCCTCAGGGAACCCATTACTAGAGTTACTATAGCTGTCCTCTTAGGAGTAGGAGTGGTAGGCACAGGCACCGGGATAGCCTCCCTTATTATAGGTCAATTTAGCTATTCAGAGATAAGTGCTACCATAGACAGAGATGTTGAAGAACTTCAGAATCAGATCAACTACCTACAGGAACGTCTTTAGTCCCTGACTGAAGTAGTCCTCCAAAATAGACGAGGACTCAACTCACTTTTTCTGCAGCGGGGAGGCCTTTGTGTTGCACTCAAGGAAAGATGTTGCTTTTATGTTAACTGCTCAGGAGTCATAAGAAAAACCCAAAAGACTTGAGAATAACAGAAATTCTGGTGTCAAAATTGGTTCTCTACATCTCCTTGGTTGAGTACTTTACTCCCTTCCCTGCTTGGGCCTCTTATAGGACTCCTGCTTTTGGTCTCCTTTGGCCCTTGGGCCTTTCATAAATTAGTAGCCTTTATCAAATAGCAAGTAGTCTGCCACATGGCCTATACAGGTTCACTACCATAAACTGGCCTCAGAGGAGAATGACCTAAATCCCAGGATAGCCAATGGGCTTGGGATGTTCCCTCAAACGGAACTAGCCCTATACCCCTTCAGCCAGATTCAGAGGTGCAGACCTGGATGGTACTGCAGGAAGGCCTCGCCTTCTGGGGAGCATGCCTGTGTGCATTGAGGTTGATGTTCCATACTCTCGTCCCCCACAAAAAGAACATCGGACAGTCTCACTCTTGAGTCAGCCCCCAGAGGTTGCTAAAAGGGGTTCAGGTAAAAGTCCCTATTGCCTATCTAGGCCAATAAGGGAGCCAGGCCACTGTGCCTCTTTGATGAAAAATTTTGGCTGCATACTAATAAGAAAGGGGAAATATGTTGGAAACTGAGGCTGGATCTATGCTCAATTATGGAACGAACCTTGGCTGAACTCTGCTTTCTCTTGGCTGTACATTTAGAGCCTTCAGTTATTCCACAAAGGTCTGATGATTTAGTAACTAGCCCTATGTAGCAAGATCAGCCTAGCATATAACCACTAGCCCCATCACCATAGTAACCTTTCTTGTTCTCATAAGTCCTGATCTTTCCACCCATGTCAACATCCATTCTTTGTGATTTTCTATATTCTGCTTGCAAGAACACCTGGTCCTTAACCATTCTTCTTACCACCACTGGCCCTTTTCCTACATCCTTGCTCTGCTGACAATATAAGTTCCGGGTAGAAAAATAAATTTTGCCACTTGACCAGAATCCTGTCTTGTGGTCAATTCCCCTGAGTCTCTTGTCCCCATCCTCTTATTGAGCTTTTGTGTTCTAGGTTGAAGTCTCACAGGTCGAGGAAAGTTACCATAATAGAGGGAGCCATTATAGGTTTGCAGAGAAATCTGGCACTAAAGAAATGTCCAGACATCTACAAGGATACCCTATCTAAGAATTTAAGCAATAGTGGCGAGGCTGTCTTAAATGCCCTTACCCTATAATTAGATTGATAACTACCATATATGCCATCCTAGAGATTTTATGCAGTAGTTGATGGAAACAGAAGCAGAGCCCCACAGCTAAACACTTAGCTGGACTCCTGGAATCCTGTTGCAGACATGGAGGAGTGATGAGCAAATTGGGCAAGGTCAGGCTGGAGAAACCCACAGAAACTGCTGACTTGAACAAGGGGAGCTCATGGACTCCAGACTGATAGCTGGGAAAGAAGTATAGGACTGACCCAGACACTCTGAATGTGGGTGTTAGTTAGGAGGACAGGACAATCTATTGGGCCTCTGACCATGGTACAAGTATCTATTGTTAGTGCACAAATGCACTTTGTGAGTCCATTCCCCATGGGAGGGGATACTCTTTCAGCCTAGATACACAGGGGAGGGCCTAGACCCTGCCCCAAATGTTGTGACAGACTTTGATGATCCCCAAGGAAAGCCTCACCCATCCTGGGGAGTGGATGGGGTGGAATGGGTGTTGTCGATGAGAGGAGAGTAGGGAGAGGGAACTGGGATTGGTATGTAAAATAAGATTGTTTCTAATTTATTTAAAAATTCATACAATATGAAAGAAAAGCTTATGCCATGCATGTAGTACATGATTATATAATAATAGGAAAGTATTTTGAAATGAGTTATCTTGTTAGGGAATGGTTTGCAAAAAAATAGTAATATAGGAGATAAAATACAAGTTCAAAGTACAGAGTAGCTAAACAAATATTGAAAGGAAAACTGGTTAGTAAATTTTTTAAATATGCATTACATGGGTACAATTACATATTTATTTATAGTATATACATATTATCAGTTGGGGCCATCAATTTCCCTTTACCAGATGTGAATTAAATACAAATGAACTTTTTTTTTGAGACAGGGTTTCTCTGTGTAGTCCTGGCTATCCTGGAACTCACTCTGTAGACCAGGCTGGCCTTGAACTCAGAGATTTGCCTTCATCTGCCTTCTGAGTACTGGGATTAAAGTTGTACACTACCCAGGTACAAATGATTCTTTACTCACTGTGCATGATGTTGGAAGTATGGAACTCAGGGTCCTGGGGCTGTGTATCAGGTGCATTGGGGAGGAAGCGTTGCATGTTCTCTGTGATGTACCAGCTTTGATTCTCATCAAATAGAGAAAACAGGATGACATTTCTCTTGTCTGACATCATCTGTTAATAACATTTATTAAAAGGGAGAAAGAAATACCACTCATATTGTAGGTAGGAGCTAGCAGTGCAGGATGGAAGGAGAGTATATACTAATCCTTTAGCTCGATTAATTTCCTCTGAACTGTCATTATTATGGCATCTCTTGGAAAAGGGATGAGCACTTTGAGTGATGAGTATATATTTAGAACTAATGCAACCTCAAGGCATGAAGGTAGCTGAATCTAGTAAATTACATTCTTCTTGGATCATATACTGGTAGTTTATAGTCTCATTGTCTCCATGTTTGATGTAGAGAAATATAGATCTTAAAGATAAGTTATACAAGTCAAATAAAATCAATACCATTCCTAAGTTCTTATCTTGCAACTATCTTTACATAAGGCTACCAACTTATACTAAACTAAAAATGTGAAAAGGAACTTAGATATGATAAGATGAACACTGAATAGTATTAATACGTTAAAATTTTTGTTTAAAAAATCCAGTATTTTAGAATAGCACTTTATATGGTGAGCCAAATTCATGAGCTAGTTACCTGTTAATTGAGTATAAAATTTAATATGTAAACTTCATATGTGTAAATTTCATTTTCTATAATCTATAGCTACAAAAAGCCAAAATTCTGAAGAGGAAATTAGAGAATATATATTTCAGTCATCTTCCAAAAGCTGATGGGAAAAGTATAATTAGGAAACATTTTCAGGACAGATATTTGGTCCTGAATCCAAATATTAAATTTCAAGTTTCACTACTCTGGATTTGTATACCATATATTATACTTGCACTCAAGTCCTTTGGTCATTAAACCTACTAAATGAATTCTAACTAGTAGGAATTTATGTATCCTAAATAGCCAAAATGAATGCATGATCAAGCCTGGAAATATAGCAATGTGTTCTTCTGTAGTCAAGAAATGAGATATTATATATATATATATATATATATATGTATATATATATTATATGTATATACACATACATATATGTATGTATATATATTATTTTTTCTTAACTTACATATTGATCTGTTTCCTCTCCCTCCCTCCCATGCCTCCTGACCACCCTCCCATCCCATCCCCCCTCCACTCCACAGGGAGGGTGATGCCTTCCAGGAGGGATCAACAAAATCTATCAAGTCATTTGGGGTAGGGTCTAGGCCCTCCCTCCTGTCTCTAGGTTAAGGGAGTATCCCTCCATGGAGAATGTGCTCCCAAAGTCCTTTTGTGCACCAGGTATGCATCCTGGTTTCACTGAGATTTTTGAAGGAAAAAAAAGACAAAAAAATAAAAAGCCCTAAATTTTCCTTACTTAGACAATTTTCTTGTTTGGTTTGGTTTTTCGAGACTGAGTTTCTCTGTGTAATACTTCTGGCTGTCCTGAAACTAGCTCTGTAGACCAGGCTGGCCTCAAACTCACAGAGATCCATCTCATGAGTGTTGGGAGTAAAGGTGTGTGCTACCACTGCCCGGCTCAGGTAATTTTCTAAAGCAGCAGAAATAGTTTAAATTATAACCTATAATCAAAATAATTTTATATTTCCTTCTATGTTATTCAACAAATATTGTCCCCTTACTAGTGTCACATAGTATTGTAGATGCTACATATGGATTACTTTTATTTTCTGACAGGGTTTTGCTCATAGGAGAAGCTGGCTTAGAACTTTCTATGTATTCCAGGTTGGCCTTGAACTCAAATTTCACCTACCTTAGTCTCCCTTTACTGAGATTGGAGGCATGTGTCACCTCTATGACTAATTTTAAAATGATTTTGATTTATTCATAATGAAATGTCCAGGTGAGAAACATAGACTGTAGACATAATTTTGCAGGTTTAAAAAATTATAGAGGCCCGGAAAGTATTTCAGTTGGTAGATGTATTTCAGTTTGCCTAGAATGCACAAAGCCATGGGTCTGAGCCCCAGTACTGCCTAAACTGGGCATGGTGACACACATCTATTATTCCAGTATTCAGAAGGTATAGGCAGGAGGACCAGAAATCAAAGACCATCTTCAGCTACATAAATAGTTTGAGGCTAGCCTGGGACACCTGAAACACTATCTCATCTAAAAGTAGGTGGCAATTGGAGAGGTAAAAATGGGCAAGATCCTTGGGGAAAATCAAAATCCCAGATTGGGACTGAGTATTTTAGGAAGAATGTAGGGTCCTGGCTTTTCTGTTTACCCAGAAGTCAAGTTTCTTAGAAAACTCAAATTTAATAAATGTTAGTATTCAGGTGTGCATACTTGTCTGCCCTTGGGGTTCTGACAGGATACAACCTCAGCTGCAGCCACTAAGAGCACCACTTGTGCACAGTCAATATGCTCCCTTTTAAAGGGGCCCTGGACACCCCCTGCTCCTTTCTACCTATCTCTCTCTACTCTCATCTCCCTCCTTTCCCTCTCTCTTTTCTTCTGCTGCTCCGCTCCCCAGAGGCTGCTCTCCCCTCTTCCCTTCCCCCTTTTCTTATTCACTTTCCCCCAATAAAAATCCCTTCCATGTGAGCTCTGTTGCATGGTCTTTCTCAAGTGTTCCACTTTTTAAATCTACAACAACAAAGCTAAGTGAAACTCAGCTAAATCACTTTTATTGGGTTATATTTTCTACAGGTTATAGAGGTACATATATTAAGAGAGTACATAAAATATCTAGAAGTTCATAGGCATTTTATTCCACTTTTATTTTCAAACTTAATACTTTGTAAGGGAAGACCTCACCTGGTTTCCTCTTTGATCTACAGATTCTTTGTAGCATATGAGAAGAGGGCCAATGAGTCCTGAAGCTAGATCTCTCTCAGGGTTAATGAAACTTGAATAATAGCGGGTCAAGCACCGTGGATCTGATTTAGTTGGTCCATCTTCTACAGTCACTGTCCATTTATACTTGAATATTTCTCCTGGACGAATTGGCAAATCCTTCACATGCTTTATACCTACCCACACCCAAAACAGAAATAGATCAACTTAGAGTATAGTGAGCTACATATTTAGTAATGTTGAATTAATTTTGGCCTAAACCTGATTCTATATGTATTTCATGTTTGTGTTAAAGGCCTCTGTGCATAGAAACTGCAACCTAACTTGGTATATTAACGTCACTTGGAACTATACTCTTGTAACAAGTAGCTGAGTCTTAGCAAATCATAATAACTGAACTTCAATCCAATTTAAGGCTGAAGCTGTGAAAACACCATGAAAGATAACTTCTAGCTGCATTTAATTGGGTAATGTCTATGTCATTTTCTGTTCTCTGTCTGTAAATATAGTCTCTGTATGTGTGGTGAGGTGGGACATTTTGAATCATTTGTAGTACAAAATTAATTCAAGAATTAATACTTTTCTCAAGTAAATTTTGCAAAGTTCAGTGTATCTGAAGTTTCCCCCCCTTAACAATAACTCTGTTTTTATTTCAAGGGAACTACTAACCCATATGTATAGGTGAAATTATTCAGTAAACAGAAAGTAAAATGGCATCTGTTACAAATTGAAGATTCACAAAATTATTTAATACAAGAAAAACGGACCCAGGAGACATAAAAAAAAAACTTTTTCTTGGTTCTTTGTGGGATTTACACCATGCATTTTGATGCTATTCATCTCCCTATTCCTTTGTACCTGTCAAATGCCCTAGCACCCCCACCCCAATAAAATAAAATTTAGGAGAAAAGAAAAACCTCATCGTGGAAGCTGTACTGTGACATAGTGAGTCATACATTAGACTCTTTTGTCCATATATTATACTTGCAAATGTTTATTGCAATGAGTCATTGGTATGGTTCAAATTCTCTGGTTTCTACTACACTATTGATACTGGACACTCACTGGGACTCCTCTTGGATATCCTGTTGTTGCTCTGTGTTGAGGATATCCTACAGCTTTGGATCTGCAGGACTGGCTCCTTCACATGCTTCAGCAGATCATACATGGGGTGGATTTCAGGGTGGGCCAACTCATAACCCTGGTTCTGGACAAGGGTGGTTGCAGAGTTGGTCATCTTGCCAGCTTTTCCCTATTCTCACCACCAGGGTGAGCTCTCCAGCACTACCCTGGCTAGTTCACCATATTCTACAAGCAGCAAGGGGCAGGGCAGGTTCTCCTGCTCTGACACCCACACCTATATCACCAGGGCCAGCTTTATTGTGTTGAGGTGCAGAGGTCACCCTCCCAAATGCTGCAGCTGGTGAGTGGCAGGGGCAGGGCCAGCTCTCCTGCTCTCATGACCTTAGGGTCTGCTTTCCTACCTGCCACAGGGAGAAAGGGGTGGAGGATGGGGCCAGGCAATATTTTTGGGGGGGGGCAGGCATTTCTCTCTCACCTATGCCATGTTTTCTTAACATGTTAGTTTGAACAAGTTTACCTTTTATTACACATAATAGAAATAATAAGAATATTTGCATATTGTTGCATATAGAAGAATCTATTTTATTTTAATAAGAAAATGATTAGGACTGTGGACAGGAAAATAACCACAGCATATTACTTATTTCTATGGTAATTATATCGATAAAAGACCTTGCATTACTAACATGATAGAAATACTATTTTTGGATTTATTATCTTTAGAATAAATGCTTAGAAAAAGCAAAGAAGATTTATGCAAAATTATTGTAAAAACTTTGTGTCAACAGGTAGAGAAGTACCTCAAATGTATCTACATCAAGAAAGACTTATAGGAGCCAACAGTCCACCCTACTTCGGAGACTTCTCGAAGCAACTCTGAACAAAGGAGACCTGCCTATCCACGCAGGGCCACCTGTAATTTCCACCTGCTTGGTCTCTAACCACACCTCCAGGCTTCTGCTGGAGTCCCGGGTCCCTCCCAGAGATCCACCTATCTCTGCTGGTCCACTCTGAGTTCCCTCAGCATACAGCTTGGACCACACAGAGCTACAGATATTGAATCTCTGACCCACAATAGCCCACGGGGGAAGTACCATAGAGAGAGGGGGAGGCCCCACCAACACCTACTGAAAGAAGCTATGGGAAGACGACAATACAAGAAAACACCTAACAACAGAAAGACAAGCATGACACGACCAGAATCTAGGGAATCTACACCAACTAGAACAGAACACAACAACAAAGCAGAGGAAGCAGAAGGGAATGACTTAAAAGTTACCATCATAAAAATGATAGAGGCCCTCAAAGAAGATGTGAGAAAATCTCTTAAAGAAATGGAGGAAAAAGCAAACAAAAAAGTGGAAGAAATGAAGAAATTTCCTAAGGAAAGCAAAGAAAGTACAGAAAGCCAAGAAAAAAACAATTAAGCAGGTGAAGGGAACGGGTCAAGATTGAAAACTGAAATAGAGAAAATAAAGGCAACACAAACCGAAGAAATTCTGGAAATAGAAAAACTAGGCAAAAAATCGGGAACTATAGACGCAAGCATAACCAACAGAATTCAAGAGATTGAAGAATCTCAGGCGCGGAAGATAAACTAGAAGAAAAAGATTCATCAACCAAAGAAAATCATAAATCCAACAAAACCTTAACACAAAACATCCAAGAAACGTGGGACACCATGTAAAGGCCAAACCTAAGAATAATAGGCATAGAGGAAGGTGAGGAAGCCCAGCTCAAAGGCACTGAAAACATATTCAACAAAATCATCGAGGAAAACTTTCCAAATCTGAAGAAGAACATGCCCATGAAAGTACAAGAAGCATACCAAATCCCAAACAGGCTGGACTAAAGAAAAAAGACCACTCGACATATAATAATCAAAACACCTAGCATACGGAATTAAAAAAGAATATTAAGAGCAGCAAAGGAAAAAGGACAGGTAACATATAAAGGCAGACCTATCAAAATTACACCTGACTTCTCCATGGAAACCCTCAAGGCCAGAAGGTCCTGGATATATGTTCTACAAGTATTAAGAGAACACGGATGCCAGCCTAGGCTACTACATCCAGCAAAACTCTCAATCACTATAGATGGAGAGAACAAGATATTTAATGACAAAACCAGATTTTCCCAATATGTATCTACATATCCAGCCCTACAGAAAGTATTGGAAGGAAAATGCCAACCCAAGGAAGTTAATGAGGCACACAAAGATGTAGACAACAGATAATCCAACTACACCAGAAACCAAGGGTAAAGCAGAACTAATATATTCGCAATACCACTGCCAACAACAAACCTAAATCAAACAATCATCAACAATCAATGTACCTTACTCACCCTCAACATTAATGGTCTTAACTCACCTATAAAAAGACACAGGCTAACAGAATGGATATGAAGACAGAATCCATCCTTCTGCTCCATACAAGAAACACATCTAAGCTTCAAAGCTAGACATTACCTCAGAGTAAAGGGTTGGGAAAAGATTTTCCAATCAAATGGAACCAAGAAGCAAGCAGGCGTGGCTGCTTGTTGCAAGTTAGTCATCAAAACAAAATTAATCAAAAGAGATGAAGACAGTCATTCCATGTTCATCACAGGAGAAATCCATTAACACAAAGTCTCAGTTCTGAACATCTATGCCCCTAATTCAAAGTCACCCACATTCGTAAAAGAAATGCTACTAAAACTCAAAACTCATATAAAACCTCACACACTTATAGTGGGAGACTTCAATACACCACTCTCAACACTAGACAGGACCATTGCGGTAAATAAGGATCAGGAAAAACAAATAGGCCGAATAGATGTTTATTCAGGGAGAAATAACTTACAACCTAGACAGATGAACACCAGGAAATTCAACCCGATCCTCTCCTGTCCGTGGCACGCCAGAAAGAGAGAGACTTTCCTGGCCCCCTCCGACCTCCTTCCAAAGTGAATATCCCACTACACAGAAACTCAACAAAGAAACAAAAGAACTAATAGAAGTTATGTTTCAACGGGGGTTAACAGACATCTACAGAACATTCCATCCAAACACAAAAGAATATGCCTTCTTCTATGCTCCACATAGAACCCCCTCTAAAATCGACCACATACTAGGTGACAAAACAAACCTCAACAGATACAAGAGAATAGGAATAGTCCCCTGTATCTTATCAGACCTCCATGCTTTAAAATTGGAATTCAACAACAACACAAATAGCAGAAAACCTGCAAACTCATGGAAACTGAACTATGTGCAGTTGCACCACACCTGGATCAAAGAAGAAATAAAGAAAGAAATTAAGGACTTTCTAATATCCAACGAGAATGAGGACACAACATACCTGAACTTATGGGACACCTTGAAAGCAGTGCTACGAGGGAAGTTCATTACACTAAGTGCCCATATGAAGAAAACCGAGGGTAGTCACATAAGAGAATTAACAGCACAACTGAAAGCCTTAGAACAGAGAGAAGCGAACTCACCCCGTAGGAGTAGATGCCAGGAAATAATCAACTTGAAGGCTGAAATCAACAAAATAAAAACAAGGAAAACAATACAAAAAATCAATCCAACGAAGAGTTGGTTTCTTGAGAAAATCAACAAGATATACAAACCTTTATCCAAATTAATGAAAAAGCAGAGAGAGAACATGCAAATTAATAAAATCAGAAACGAAAAGGGGAACATAACAACAGTCATAGAGGAAATCCAGACAATTTTCAGGTCATACTTTGAAAATTTGTATTCCACAAAAATTGAAAATTCAAAGGAAATGGAAAAATTTCTAGATAACTATCACTTATCAAAATTAAATCAAGAACAGACAAACAACTTAAATAGACATATAACCCACAATGAAATAGAAGCAGTCATCGAAAGCCTTCCAACCAAAAAAAAAATCCATGGACAGATGGATTCAGTGCAGAATTCTACCAGAAATTCAAGGAAGAACTAACACCACTATTCCTCAAACTGTTCCACAAAATAGAAACAGAAGGTTCATTGCCAAACTCTTTTTATGAGGCCACAATAACCTTGGTACCCAAGCCTCACAAAGGCACAACTAAGAAAGAAAACTACAGACCAATATCCCTGATGAACATCGATGCAAAAATACTCAATAAAATACTGGCAAACCTAATTCAAGAATACATCAGAGAAATCATCTACCATGACCAAGAAGGCTTCATCCCTGGAACGCAGGGATGGTTTAACGTACGAAAATCTATCAACATGATCCACCATGTAAACAAACTGAAAAAGAAAAACCATATGATTATCTCCCTAGATGCGAAAAAAGCCTTCAACAAAATTCAACACCCTTTCATGATAAAGGTCTTGGAGAGGTCAGGGATAACAGGAACATACCTAAACATAAAAAGAGCAATATACAGCAAACCAACTGCCAACATCAAACTGAATGGAGAGAAACTTAAGCCAATTCCTCTAAAATCAGGAACAAGTCAAGGCTGCCCTCTCTCTACATATCTCTTCAATATCGTACTAGAAGTTCTAGCTAATGCTATAAGACAACAAAAGGAGATCAAGGGGATCCAAATTGGAAAGGAAGAAGTCAAACTGTCTCTATTTGCAGATGATATCATAGTTTACATAAGCGACCCAATAAACTCTACCAGGGAACTCCTACAGCTAATAAACACCTTCAGCAAACTAGCAGGATACAAGATAAACTCAAAAAAATGAGTAGCCCTATTTTTTCAGACGACAAAGAGACAGAGAAAGAAATCAGAGAAACATCACCCTTTACAATAGCCACAAGCAACATAAAAGATCTTGGTGTAACGCTTACCAAACAAGTAAAAGACCTATATAATAAGAACTTTGTGGCTCTAAAGAAAGAAATTAAAGAAGATACCAGAAAATGGAAAGATCTCCCATGCTCTTCGATAGGTAGGATAAACATAGTAAAAATGGCAATCATGCCATGAGCAATCTACAGATTCAATGCAATCCCCATTAAAAATCCCACCACAATTCTTCATGGATTTGAAAGGATAATAATCAACTTTATATAGAAAAACAAAAGACCCAGGATAGCCAAAACAACCCTATAAAATGAAAGAACTTCAGGAGGCATCACCATTCCTGACTTTAAGCTCTACTACAGAGCTATAGTTCTAAAAACAGCCTTGTATTGGCATAAAAATAGACAGGTAGACCAATGGAATCGAATTGAAAATCCTGATAATAAACCACACACCTATGAACACCTGATTTTCGACAAAACAGCTAAAATTATACAATGGGGCAAGAGAGAGAACATAAAAGAGGGAGCCAACATTGGTTTGAAGATAAAATTGAACACAAAGAAAGGTCTAGAGAACTACAAGACTGCCGCCAACTAACAATTTGAGCTTCCTTGGAAAGGCTATCATAAATGCCCTTCCCAGATAGTGAGATCAACAACTAACTTATCCTTGGAGCCCTCATCTAATACCTGTTGGAAAATGGAGCAAACACCCATACATAAATACTGAGTCGATGCAGATGCAGATGGAGAGGACAAGACCAGGCTGCAGAAACACATAGAGACAGCTGACTTGAACAAGGAGGAGCTAACAGGCCCCCAGACTGGTAGCTGGGAAGCCAGCATGGGACTGACTCAGGCCCCCTGAATATGGGTCTCAGCCAGAAGGACTGAGGAGTCTAAGGGACCTCAGATAGTGGAACCAGGATGTATTCCTGGTACACAAAAGGACCTTGCGAACACATCCCCCATGGAGGGATAACTGCCTTAACCTAGAGACAGGAGAGAAGCCCTAGTCCCTGCTTCACATGACCTGTCAGATCTACATGACCCCAACTGGATGGCATTTCCCTACATATGGAATTGGGATGGGGGGATGGGAGGGGAGGGTGTTTAGAGTGCATGTGAGAGGGCAGAGAGGGTAAAAGGGAGGGAATGAGGGAGGGAGGAATGGGGGGAGGGAGGGAGGGAGGGAGAGGGAAGTGGGATCGACATGTAAAATAATAAATTAAATAAAAAAAATGCTTTAACTCCAAAATTTAAGTTCAAGGACAAGTTACTGGGATTTCTATTTTTGTTTCCACAGAAAATGAAAAGCAGTGGATTCCTTCCAGACTAATGTGGTTTGATCAAGCCAGACCGCCTGAAACAGAGTACCAGGTGATCCTACATTCAAAACAGCTGGACAAAGCAGCCTGACAGACTACAGCCAGGATTTCTGCATCTTCTTAGAATCCCCCAAGACAGCGCCCCTTACCAGCAGGAAGTAGTTTGGAAGGAATGATGCCCAAATTCCAAAATATTTTCTATACATGTTTGTTTCCAGCAGGAAGTAGTTTGGAAGTAATGATGCCCAAATTCCCAAATATTGTCTATACCTGTTTGTTTTCAGTTAAATTGACTTGGTCATATAAAATAAATAAGGAAAGAAAGAAAGAGAGAAAGAAAGAAAGACTTATAAACTGAGATACTACTTACCTCTTGGGAATCTCCTTGAGTGTAGTGGGCTGACATCAGTGATTCCATGAGGGTAAATATTATATGGTCGGCTTGCTTGGTTCTTAAATATAATCTGAAAGTACAGGTGAGGTATGAGATCAAGTCCTATGACTACTAGGATCAACAAGAAAACCGGCCTAGCTCTAGAAATCAAAATCTTCTTATCCACATTACAGGAGTCTAAGCCCTTAATAAAACTTAATATATTCATTCTTTCCATGAAAAGGAAGCTTAGGTAGCTGCTTAGTTTTGTCACAACTCTTTTCAATTTCAATTACTTCAGTAAGGCTTGTCTGTGTCTCCCTCATTTAGTATAATTTGGGTGTCTGCTAAGGACATTACTTTCCCTCAGCCTTTCTGTATTCTTGGCACTAAATTCCTCAGCACTGGAGGAGACAGTGATTCACATTATAGGATTTATCACTTAATAAACAGGCACAAGGAAGACATTAAACAGCCTCAAGCAAGGGTGGCAGGTGACACTGTCTGATTAAATTAGATTTACAAAATAATAAAAAAGAAAAAAAAACTATGATATGTAAATAGTATTGAAGATGCTTGAAGATTACCTGTAGATCTGAGGGTATGATTTCTATTTTAAAAGTTAAATGAAGGGGAATAACAATTGATGAAGAAACTTCTGGAAAGTTATATATCAGTCTAAGTAGTGAATAGTTAAAAGAAATTGAGAGTGTGATTGGTCACATATTTTTATTCCATATACTCATTATAAATGAGTATATTTTATTTAGAAAACATTAATAATTTTTAAAAGATTATATCCATTGGAGATAAGACTGAATTTTGAAAGATTACAGAAACTCAAAAATTTCCAGACGTTAAAAAGATTTATTTTATTTATGCATATGAATTTTTTGCCTGTATGTATGTGTGTGCATGTATGTATGTATGTATGTATGTATGTATGTATGTATGTATGTATGTATGTGTACAACATGTATGCCGTGTACCCATGGGGGTCAGCAGAGGGTTTTGGATTCCCTGTAAGTAGAATTGCACATGGTTGTGAGCTGCCATGTGAGTGCTGGGAGCTGAACCCAGTACCCCTGCAAGAATAACAAGTGTTCTTAACCACTGAGACGTCTAACCAACATTGAGACTTCCCATTTTATCTGAAGCAATCTCATATTTTCCCTTGACTTACCAACAATGTGTCTCCAACTTCCCCATAAAGTAAAGGTCCCAAGATTCCTGATTCATTCTGGGTAGTTTCACGGGTCTTAAAGGTTTCATCTGTGTATGCTATAAATCTGACTTTTTTGTATTTCTTACCAATCCGGTGAGGACCATTTCTCAGATACAGGCTTTCATAACTTCTGTATGAGAGGCAAAAAGGGGAGGGATAAGGTTAGAAAATTCAGATAGTCAAAAATCCAATTCTAATATGATTTACTCCAAGCAAAGCGTGAGAGAAATATAAGTAGTCTTAGGCTTACCTATGCTAATATTCTATGAATGTCATAGAATGCACATTTATTAAAGGCTTAGTCATCAGGATATGGAGCTAGCAGGAGGTGATGGAACTTCAGGAGCTGGAGCCTACTGGGAAAAACTTAGGTCATTGGGGGTATGCCCTTGAATGGATGATATTGGAACCCCAAGCCACTTTTATCTACTCCTTGTTTTCTCACATCTGTGTATGGAACAGTCGTCCCCTTCCACTGTGCACTTCATTGTGAATTTCTGTGCTGTCACAAGCCCAAAGTAGTAGTCAAGAAACCACAGACTGAAAATTCTGAGTCAAACCCATGAGTCAAAACAAATGACTTCCAACCCCCAGCAGCCAGTTAGCTGGTGAGTCCAGTTGGAGCTGATCCACCATTGTCCCTACCCACTGAACACTGTAACTGTAAGACCCTTTCTGACTCCAAAATCCACTGAAACTATTGCACACCTCCTGGCTAAACACCTCCTGTAAGAGCAGTAGTCCCTAGAGACACAAGCACTGCCTGAACCAATCTGAAAAAGAGGTGAGTGATTGGTCTCCCAGCTAAATTACCTCAATCCTTAGGCCCTAAGCCCCAGGGCACATTCCCTATACTTCCCCCTCATAGCTCACCCCCCAGGAGCCGGCTAACCAAGCCTGGGCTTGGTGGGACATGCCTTTAATCCCAGCATTCAGGAGGCAGAGGCAGGTGGATCTCTGTGAGTTCAAGGCCAGACTGGTCTACAGAACTACTTCCAAGAAAGGCTCCAAAGCTACACAGAGAAACCCTGTTTTGAAAAACCAAAAAAAAAAAAAGAATTCTGCTAGTAGGCTGCTCCATTGAACACTGTAACCCTGTGACCCCTGGAAACTACAAGATCCACTCCCAATGAATTCAGGGCAAATATACCCCACAAGAACAGAAGCCCCTAGAGATGCAAGCCCTGACTGAATCAATTGGAAAAAGAGGAGTCCCTAGAGGCATAAGCATCACTTGAAACAATTAGAAGAAGTAACAACAGCCACTAGACACACAAGCACCACCTGTACCAATTAAAAGATGTGGATAGAATAGCAATGTAATAATACACTCAACAACATACAGATAAATATAGCACCACCAGAAACCAATGGATCTACAGCAGCAAGACCTGAATATCACAAAACTGATGACGTAAGATGGCTTTGTGAAGATATTACAGGCCCTTCACGTGGAAATAAGAAATTCTCTTAAAGAAATAAAAAAAAGACAAATGAACAAAAACATAGGAAGAAATAATGAATAAATCCCTTAAAGGTGTCAAGAAGAACAATCAAAAAACAAACAAAAAATCAAAAAACAAAAAAACAAAAACAATCAAATAGGTGAAGAAAAAAAAAAACAGTACAAGATTGAAAATTGCAATAGAGAAAATGGAAAAAAAAGCCAAGATAATTTTAGAAATGGAAAAACATAAAGAATAAAACATTATAACCCAAATACAAGGGCACCCACATTTGTAAAAGAAATATTACTAAAACTTGAATCCCACATCAAATCTCACACACTAATAGTGGAAGGCTTCAACACCCCACTCTCACCAATGGACAAGTCAGCCAGACAGAAAATTAACAGAGAAATAAAGGAACAGATGTTATGACTCTAATGTACTTAAAAGACATCTATAGAACATTCCACACAAACAGAAAAAGAATATACCTTCTTCTCAGCACCTCATGGAACCTTGTCTAAAATGACCACATACATTGTCACAAAGCAAACATCAACTGATACAAACAATTGGAATAAAACCCCTGTATCTTATCAGATCACCATGGCTTAAAGTTAGAACTCAAAAACAATGCAAATTACAGAAAGCCTACGAACTCATGGAAAGTGAATAATACTCAAATGAATCACCCCTGGGTCAAGGAAGAAATAAGAAAGAAATTAAAGATTTCCTAAAATTCAAGGAAAATGACCACACAACATAACACGGCTTGCGATATACAATGAAAGCAGTGCTGAGGGGAAAGTTCAAACACTGAGTGCCTACATGTAGAAGTTGGAGAAATCTTACACTAGTGACTTAACAGCACACTGAAAGCTCTAGAACAAAAAGAAGCAAACTCATGCAGGAGAAGTAGACACCAGCAAATAATCAAATTTAGGGATGAAATCAATAAAATAAAAACAAAGGAATCAATGAGACAAAGAGTTGGTTCTTCAAGAAAATGAACAAGATAGACAAACTCTTATCCAACCTAACTAAAAGGCAGAGGGAGAATATCGAAATTAACAAACTCAGAAGAAATAGGGGGACATGACTACAGACAGTGAAGAAATCCAGAGAATCATCAGGTCATACTTCAAAACCCTGTACTCCACAAAATTGGAAAATTTAAAAGAAATGGACAATTTTCTCGATAGGTACCAAATACCAAAATTAAATAAAAAAACACACAAACAATTTAAATAGACCCATAACCCCTAAGGAAATAGGAGCAGTCATCAAAAGGCTCCCAACCAAAAAAGTTCAGGACCAGATGGCTTCAGCACAGAATTCTCCCAGAAGAGAGCTAATACCAATACTCCTCAACTTGTTCCACACAATAGAAACAGAAAGAACATTGCCAAACTCCTTTTATGAGGCTACAGTTACTCTGATACCCAAACCACACAAAGATGCAACGAAGAAAGAGTACTACTGACCAATTTCCCTCATGAACATTGACGCATAAATACTCAATAAAATACAGGCAAATCAAATCCAAGAGCACATCAAAAATTCATGCACCATGGTCAAGTAGGCTTCATCCTAGAGATACAAGATGGTTCAACATATAGAAATCTGTCAATGTAATCTACCATATAAGCAAACTGAATTTAAAAAAAAAAACCACATGATCATCTCATAAGATGCATCAAATACCCCTTCATGATAAGGACATATCAGGAATACAAGGAATATACCTAAACCCACTAAAGGCAAATTACAGCAAGCCAGCATCAAGTAAAATGGAGAGAAACTCAAAGTGATTCCACTAAAATCAAGAACAAGACAGGCTATCTATTCTCTCCATATCTATTCAATACAATACTCAAAGTTCTAGCTGGTGCAATAAGACAACAAAAGAGATCAAGGGGATACAATTTGGAAAGGAAGAATTCAAATTATCACTATTTGCAGATGTTATGATAAGGTATGTATGTAACCCCAAAAGTTCTACCAGGGAACTCCTACAATTCATAAACAATTCAGTAATGTGACAGGATACAAGATTAACTAAGGAAAACATCAGTAGCCCTCCTATATTCAAATGATAGGAAAGGACAGGAAAGAAATCAGAGAAGCATCACCCTTCCCAACAGCCACAAATAATACAAAGTATCTTGGGGTAACTCTAACCAAACAAAAGAAAGACCTGTACAACAAGAACTTTAAGTCTCTGAAGAAAAAATTGAAGAGGATATAAGAAAATGGAAAGCTCTCCCATGCTCTTGGATAGGTAGGATCAACATACAAAGGCAATCTTATCAAAAGCAATCTACAGGTTCAGCGCAATCCCCAGCAAAATTCTTCACAGAACTTTAAAGAACAATACTGAATTTCATATGGAAAAACAAAACAATCCAGAAGAGCTAAACAGTTCTGTACAATAAAGGAACTTCTAGAGGCATCACCATCGCTGACTTCAAATCTATTATAGAGCTACAGTAATGAAAACAGCTTGGTATTGGCATAAAAACAGACACAGGGATCAATGAAATTGAGTTGAAGACCCTGACATTAATCCACACACCTATGAACACCTGATTTTTGACAAAGAAGGAAAAAAATGGTACAAAGTAAAAAGGAAAGCATCTTCAACAAATGGTGCTAGCATAACTGGGTGGCAACATGTAGAAGATTACAAATAGATCCATATCTATCGACATGCACAAAACTCAAGTCCAAGTGGATCAAATAACTCAACAGAAATCCAGTTACCCCAAGCCTGATAGAAGAGAAAGTGGGAAGTAGCTTTGAACACATGGACACAGGAGACCACTTCCTAAATATAACACCGGTAGCACAGATACTGAGAACAACAATCAATTAATGGGACCTCCTGAAACTGAGAAGCTTCTGTAAAGCAAAGGACACTGTCAATAAGACAAAACGAGAGCCTACAGAATGGGCAAAGATCTTCACCAACCCCACATGTGACAGAGGGCTGATCTCCAAAATATATAAAGAACTCAGGAAACTAGACATCAAAACACCACATAATTCAATTAAAAAATTGTGGTACAGAGCTAAACAGATTACTCAACATAAGAAACTGAAGTGACCAAAATACATTTAAGGAAATTCTCAACATCCTTAGCCGTCAGGGAAATGCAATTCAAAATATCTCTGAGACATCTTACAGCTATCAGAATGGCTAAGATAAAAAATATTGAGGACAGCTTATGTTGGAGAGGATGTGGAGTCAGTGGAACACTTCTACAAACTTGTATAGCCACTTTGGGAACCACTTTCTCAAAAATAAATAAATAAATAAATAAATAAATAAATAAATAACATAAATGGGAGTCAATCTACTTCAACACCCAGTGATACCACTCTTGGGCATATACCCAAAGGATGCTTGCTCAGCTATATTCATAACAGCATTGTTCCTAATAGCCAGAATCTGGAAACAACCTAGATACCCATAAATAACCCAAAGAATGGATAAAGAAAATGGGGTACATTTACACAATGGAGTCTTAATAGGCTAAAACAAACAAACAAACAAACAAAAAAATGATACCATGAATTTGCCTGCAAATTCATGGAAGGAACTAGAAAAAGTAACCCTGAGTGAGGTAGAATGACAAACATGGTATATATGCACTCCTAAGTGAGTAGTAGATATAAATCAAAGGATAGCCAGACTACAATCCATAGCTCCAGAGACCTAGGTAACAAGGAGGATCCTAAGAGTGATGCATTGATCACCCTAGGAAGGGGAATTAGATAAAATCTCCTGGGTAAACTAGGAGCTGGGGTGATAAAAGGGAGGGAATGGGGGAATGAGTGCATGAGTCAAGTTCAGAGAGGGATGGAGTGGGAGAGCAATGAAAGAGATATCTTAATAGAGAGCCATTATGTGGTTAGGGAGAAACCTCGTGTTAGGGAAACTCCCAGCAATCCACAGGAATGACCCCAGCTAAATCTAGAAAAAGTGGAGAGGGTGCTTAAACTTGCCTTTTCCTGTAATCTGACTGGTGAATACCCCAACTATCATCATAAAGCTTTCATCCTGCATTTGACAGAAGCAGATATAGAGATCCACAACCCAATACTAGGCCAATCTCCATGAATGTAGTTTAAGAGAGGGTGGAGGGAATACATGAGCAATGAAGGTCAATAGCATTTCAGGGAAATGCTTAACCAAACTTGTGAGAACTTACAAATTCTAGACTTACAACCATGGAGCCTCCATGGGACAGAATTAGGTCTTCTGCATGCAGCAGACAATTGTGTAGCTGGGTCTGTCTGAGGTGCCCCTGACCGCAGGAGCAGTATCTATCCCTGGTGTATGAGCTAGCTTGTTGGAGACCATTCCTTATGATGGGATGCCTTGCTCAGCCTTAATGTAGGGTGGAGGGGCTTGGTCCTGCCTCACCTTAATGTCCCTGGCTTTGTTTCTCCCTGCCATGGGAGACCTTACCCTGTGATAGGAGAGGTTAGGTGGTGGGATGGGATGGGAGAAATGGTGGGAGGGGATAACTGGTAAAAATGCAAAATGACATAAAAAATAAATTAAAAAAAAGAAAAAAGTCTAGCCATGCATTGGTGGCACATGGCTTTAATCCCCTCACTCGGGAGGCAGAGGCAGGAGGATTGCTGTGAGTTTGAAGCCATCCTGGTTACAGAGTGAGTGCCAGGACAGGCTCCAAAGCAATAAAGAGAAACCCTATGTCAAAAAAAAAAAAAAACCAACCAAACAAAATCCAAAAAACAAACAAACCTTTCCTACTTATAAGTTAATTTCAGCATTTTACCACAGTGATGGAATGGTGGCTGGCAAAACATCCTTACCATTTGATCCTATAACATACTAACTCTTAAATATGGCTTAAGGATTCATTGGTTTGAATAATTAAGAAGAATTTGGATATAGGAGAGGATAGTACCAAGAGCCCAAAGATGTTTACCCATCATCTGATGTGAGAACTGAAGGAGCATAGTCCCAGTCTTCCTCCTCAGCAGAAATATAATGTATCCAAGTTTTAGGGTACTTCTTGGCAACCGAGCGAATTTGGATAAAAGGAGAGTTGTCATCGTCCAACACGAACATGTCCATTTCTGAATCAAGATCATCATCATCATAATCTTCCATTTCCTCATTTTTTTTCTTTTGCAATTGGGGTTCCTCGGGACAGCTATCTACTTTGACATAAGCTTCCATGCCATCTGTAGTCAGATAACCCAAACAATATTAAGAGATTATTTCTCTCCTTCCTCCCTTTGTTCCCCTTTCTCTTTAGCCTCTCTACCATGTGTATCATTTTCCTGTACTATAACACAGAAAGAAAACCTCTATTAAATGACAATATCTTGATATTGTACTTCCTGGCCTCTTGAACTGTGTGAGACAATAACTTTGTTTACAATAAATTATCCTATTTCTGATATTCTTCTCTGGCAATATAAGAGACTAAGCCTTAAATGGACATACCTAAGAAAGAGTTATTAGGTTGATCCAAGACAAAAAAAATGAACAAAGTTAACATACAAGAAGAAAATGGAAGTGAAAGGATTATTTGATAACAATCTGCACAACTACTACCTACAACATCATGTAACCAGGAAATGATACTATAGGCACACTTGTTTACACAGTATCTTTGGTCATTGCAAAACCTCTATCAATAGTCCTTTAAATTTTTATGTGATACCTCATTTCCCTAGATTTCTCATCTGTTCTGATAGTACTGAAGCCTAGTTAATGGTGTCAGGCTAAAAAACTAATAACATACTGTCCTTCATTTTTCCTATCTCATTCATCTCTAACCTATGTCTTCTTCTTCCACAGATATTTAACTAAAAACCCACAATAATCTTGTACTGACAATAAAGTTCTTATATATTCAAGATGAAAAAAATTTTCACATTAGAAGATTTCACTCAAAGTCTAACAATCCTAACTCTATAATGGCTTTTCTGCAATGCATTATATTGTAACACTGCCCAGGAAATGTCATTAAAATTAGAACATAATCTTTTATAATACTCATTTTTAAGATCCAAAATAATAGTACCATGTTTATGGGAAGAGATATGACAAAATATCAGGAACTGTCCAAGATCTATCAAGAGTGTCTGAGCAGTAAGGAAAGTTATTGGTGATATTTCCAAGGAAGCCTGACGGTGGTTTCTCACAAGAAATGTGTGTCCTTCAAGAAATATTGAGTGTACTTCAGGGGTTGTGCCCATTCCAATCACATGCCAGTAGACTGATTTCCTATGACATCCAATTAGACCTGTAAAATGGGAATAAGGCAGTTATGGCAAAGAAATAAGGAACTTGAAACTGAAAGTACTTGCTAGAATAGGATGTATAAAAGGACACTATAAATTTTACTGCTACCCTAACTTATAAGTAAGGTTACCAAGGAAGTTAATTATGTCACTATCAAATCAACAGCTCTTGCTAAAGCCACAAATGACTATCATGCTGCTAAATAATATGAACATGTTTCTTTAATTTACTCTTTACTTTTTCTGAAGTACCTATTCAGCAGTTGCTAAGGCCTTCCATGGAAGATTACATTTTCTATTATTCTCCAAACCTGATTCATCATTTGACTCTAAATTTCAGCTCGAAAATAATCTTTCACTTAGGTGTCTTTTAAAAATACTGCTCTACTATTTTGTCAGTCTAATTCCACTTCTTTTGTATATAAACAATTTCTTCCAGGAAAATCTTCAAGTATCTTGATACTCCAAATTGTTATAATTATCATTTTGTGTGGGGTTCTGTTTTTTGTTTATACTAAGAGTAATTGTATTTCTGAATATTCAGATCATTTATTTCTTAGGATCTCTGTTTTTATCATTTTCTTAAAGTCAATTTAAAACGTATTGTCAACAGACAGTGACTGCACAAAGCAGACCAAGAAGTGACTAGCCTCCAAGCTAGACAGACTAGTCTCTAGGCGCTAGGCCCCAGGGCAAAACCCTGAGCCTCTCCCCAACGCATCTCAGGTATACTAGTGGGTCACCAGGCAGGCTTCTTTGGGCAGGCTGTTCCATCCCCACTCCATCTGTAATCTATAAATTCCACTCCATCCCCAAACCCACCTATCCCTCAAGATGTCAGTGGCTCCCTTAGTCACAGACAGCAACTTCATCAATAGGACCTAGAGTGCCTCCCTGAGGCACAGATACTAATTGCACTGATCTTGACCAAGAGTACCTCCCCAAGACACAGATATCAATTGCACTAATTGGACCAAGAGGAACAGACACTGTCTTCACCGACTGGAGGAAGAGATGGGTAGACACCAGTGCAACAATACTTTCAACAACCTAAAGAGCAATCTGAAACCACCAGAACCTAGTTGTTATATAACAGCAAGGCCTGAACATCCCAATGAAGAAGAAACAGAAGAAAATTGCCTTAAAAATAATGACTGTAAACTAACTTTATGAAGATGACAAAGACATTTAAAGAAGAAATGAAAAATTCCCTTAAAGAAATCAAAAATCAAACAAAAACTTAGAAGAAATGAATAAATCTCTTAAAGAAAGCCAAGAAAACAAAGAAAAGCAATCAAACAAGGAAACAGTTCAAGAACTGAAAATTTAAATAGAGGTAATAAAAAAAAACTAAGCTGATGAAATTCTGGAAATGGAAAATCTGATTAAATGATCAAGAACTACAGATGCAAGCATAACCAACACAATCAAAAGATGGGAGAATCTGGAGGTGAGTTGGGGAAAACTCAGACCCAACTTCCCCCATCCTCTCCTTGGAACTTCCTGGGTTGGCTCCACATATAGTAGACCTGCCCTGGCATGCAGGACCATATGAAGCCTGCAATCATCGCAGTCTTGCCCCCCCATCCCTGTTCTCTGCTAGAGGTGAGTGTGGGGCCAGCTCACACTCCCCCTCTCCCCTCCTTGGAACTTCCTGGGTCTGCTCCGAGTGTAGTAAACCAGCCCTGGCAAGCTGGAACATCCAGAACCTGCCCTCATTGCAGTATTGGCCCCCCTATTCTCTCTGCTTGAGTCTTGCCCCCCACCTCTGCTTGAATGGACCAGCCCCAATACGCTGAACCATCTGGAGTCTGCTCTCATCACAGTCTTGCCCCCCCCCCCCGACTATGCCCTCTGATTGAGAACTCCTAGAGAGCTTGGACCATCCAGAGTTACTGACATCTAAGTCTATACCCACCTGCACCCACCAGGATATGAGAGGAAAGAGAGAGACCCCACCTGTACACACTGTAAAATGGGATGGGAAGATGACAGAACAAAAATATATTCAGCAACAGAAAGACCAATATAACACCATCAGAATCTAGGGACTCTATACCAACAAGACCTGAACATCCCAAAGCAGATGAAACAGAGAAGAAGGACCTTAAAAACAAATTTATGAAGATGATGAGACCCTCCAAGAGGATATGAGAAAATCCCTTAAAGAAATGGAAGAAAAAACAAAAAATACAGTTAGTGGAAGAAAGGGCAAACCAAAGAAATTTCAAGAAATAAATAAATCTCTTAAAGAAATCAAAGAAAGCCAAGAAAAAACAAACAAAACAAATGAAGAAAATACATAATAGAGGGAGCCATTATAGGTTTGAAGAGAAAACTGACTGTAGAGAAATGTCCAGAGACCTACAAGGATGACCCCAACTAACAATTTGAGCAACAGTGGAAAGGCTACCTTAAATGCCCTTCCATGATAATGAGACTGATGACTAACTTATCCACCATCATGGAGCCCTCATCTAGTAGCTGATAGACACAAAAGCAGACACCCACAGCTAAACACTGAGCTGATCTCCTGGAATCCAGTTGCAGAGAGGGAGGAGTGATAAGAAAAGGGGTCAAGACCAGGCTACAGACACCCACAGAGACAGCTGTCCTGAACAAGGGACATGGGCTCATGGGAAACCAGCATTGGACCGACTCAGACTCCCTGAACATGGGTCTCAGTTAGAAGGCCTGGGCAGCCTAATGGACCTCTGACAGTCGAACCAGGATGTATCCCTGGTGCACAAAAGGACTTTGGGAGCACATTCCCCATGAAGGGACACTCTCTTAGCCCAGAGACAGGAAGGAGGGCCTAAACCCTACTCCAGATGACTTGACAGATTTTGATGATTCCTCCTGGAAGGCATCACCTTCCCTTTGGAGTGGGTGGGGAATGGGATGGGAGGAGTGTTTTGGGTACATGGGAAAAATTATAAATATTTTTAAAAATGAAGAAAACAATTCAGACAGTACAAGACTTGAAAGCTGAATCAGAAACAATACAGAAAGAGGGAATGCTGGAAATAGAAAAGCTTGGTAAATGATCAGGAACTACAGATGTAAATATAGCCAATAGAATACAAGAGATGGAAGAGAGAATCTCAGGTGTTGAAGACTCACTAGGGGAAATAGAGTCATTGACCATAGAAAGTCTTAAGTCCAACAAATCTCTAACACAAAATATCCACAAAATATGGACCATGTGAAAAGGCCAAACCTAAGAGTAATATGAATAGAAGAAGGTAAAGAAGTACAGCTCAGGGATACAGAAATAAAATATTCAACAAAATCATAGAAGAAAACTTTCCTAACCTAAAGAAGGACATGAAAGTTGAAGAAGCTTACAGAACACCAAAAAGACATGCTCACCAAAAAGACATGATCACCAAAAAAAAAAAAATCCCCTTGTCACATAATAATCAAATTGCCAAACTTAAAAACTTAAAGAATAAAGAAAATAATATTAAGAGCAGCAAAGGAAAAATGCCAAGTAACATATAATGGCAGATGGATCACAATTATACCTGACTTCTCCATGGAAACTCTGAAATGCAGAAGGTCCTGAATAGATGTTCTAGAAACACTAAGAGACCATGGGTACTAGCCCATACTACTATATCCAGTAAAGCTTACAATCACTATAGATGGAGAAAACAAGATTTTCCAGAACAAAACCAGATGTAAATGATAACGTATCCACAAATTCAGCCCTACAGAAAGTTCTGGAAGGAAAACTCCAACCCAACAAAGTTAACTACACTCACAAAAACATAGGCAATAAATAACCAAAAGAAAAAAGAAAAACGGGGAAACCCACACACAATACCATCACCACCACCAAAACCAAAACAAGCAAGAATTAACAAGCAATGGTCATTAATATCCCTTAATTTCAATGGTCTTAACTTGACTATAAAAAGACACAGGCTAACAGAATGGATACAAAGACACAATCTATCCATTTACTGCAGATAAGAAACACATCTCAACTTCAAAGATAGACATTACCTCAAAGTTAAGGGCTGGTAAAAGATTTTCCAATAAAATGGACCCAAGAAACAAGCTGCTGTAGCAATCCTAATAGCTTACAAACTAGGCTTCAAAGCAAAATCAATCAAAAGAGATGAAGAAGGTAATTTCACATTCATCACAGAAAAAGCCCATCAAGATGAAGTCTCAATTCTGAACATCTATGCCCCAAATACAAAGGCATCCGCATTTGTAAAAGAAATATTACTAAAGCTCAAATCCCACATAAAACTTCTTATAGTGAAAGACTTCAACACCCTATTCTTACTGTTAGACAAGACCACCAGACAGAAACTTAACAAAGAAACAAAGTAACTAACAGAAGTTATAACCCAATTTAGTTTAACAGACGTCTATAGAACATACCTTCTTCTCAGTGCCACATGGAACCTTCTCTAAAACTGACCACATACTTGGCAACATAGTAAACCTCAACAGATACAAAAAAATTGGAATAACCCCCTGTATCTTACTAGATCACCATGGTTTAAAGCTAGAATTCAACACAAATTGCAGAAACCCTAAAAACTCTTGGAAATTGAACAATGTGTAATTGCACCAACCCTGGGTTACAGAAGAAATAAAAAATAAATACTTCCTAGAATGCAATGAGAATGAAGACACAACATACCCAAACTTATAGAACACATTAAAAGCAGAACTAAGAGGAAAGTTCATAGCACTAAGTGCCCACATTAAGAAACGGGAGAATAGTCACACTAGAGAATTAGCAGCACCACTGAAAGCCTTAGAACAAAAAGAAGCAAACTCATCCAGGAGGAGTAGATGCCAGGAAATAATCAAATTGAAGGCTGAAATCAATAAAGTAGAAACAAAGAAAACAATACAAAGAATCAATGAAATAAACTAACCAACCAAAAGACAGAGAGAGAGATCATGCAGATTAACAAAATCAGAAATAAAAAGGGGGACATAACAATGGACACTGAGGAAATCCAGAGAATCATCA